GACCACCACCACCATCACCACCACCCCCACCCCGACCACCACCACCATCACCACCACCACCACCCTAACACCCAACAATGCCACCACCCCCACGTCCAACGTCACCACCAGGCCCACTGTTCCTTCTGGAAGCGCCAACAGCACCAATTCATCACAGACTGTGGATCCGACAACTCGTCCCACAGGTAAGAGTAGTTTCCTCAGACACATCACCAAGGGTGCTTTATTTACATTAAGGAGGATGGTACCTACTTGTGGCCAGGAAAATGGGTAGAAAGAGAACCCAGCCTATCTCGATGTGAACTATGGACTGAGAACTTGAATCCCAAGTAGTGATGGCAGAGACCCTAAATAGTCAGATCAGTTCCACTCTGTTCTCCCTTCCTTCCTGTCCATCCCACCTCAAATTATTTGCGAAAAACAAAACAAAACAAAACTTCTTCTTTAGCTTTCCTCTTTCTAGGTGACTTTTAGCTATGTTTGGAAAGTGTTTCTGCTTCTCGGAGAAGACCAGGTCCAATACACACTGACTCTCCAATCCCAAGGGTCCAGCTAGCTGGTCTACCTCAGGAAGAAGTCCATTCTGCCCTGAAATTATGATGGTGGCTGGTAGCAGTTTGGAATTTGAGCCACTTCATGGAATTTGAACTCGAGGGATAAAAGAGGCAAAGAAAAGCAGTACACACAGTCTTAAGACCAGGGCCTTTGTCCAAGGATGGATGTTGTGAGGATACTAAGAAGTGACAATTGACCATGACCAGGAGTTATTGAAACAGAGGCCACTTGCTGCATTCCCCCAAGAGTGGTCCAGAATGGTAGTCAGTGCTGAAGGCCACGTAGGTATTTTGTTGCAACTACTCTACTTACAGTGCATGCTTGTGCGTGTGTATGTGGTGTTGTTTTAGACAGTGTCTCATTATGTCACGATCCTCCTGCCTCAGCCTCAGTGCACACCACTGGACCTGACTTTTTAAGTGGGCTGGGAATCCAAGTCAGGTCTCGCGGGTGTCCTCAGCCTGCTGAGCTGTGGTTTCCAGCACACACTACCACCCGCTGCCCTCCACTCTGCCATTAAACAGACACACAGCCATGGTATAAATACACAATGAGCCTATGTTCCAATAAAACTTTATTTACAAAAATAGGCTAGTCAACTATGGCTCATGAGCCGTAGTTTGCCAACCCTTGATCTAGAAGAATCCTCAAACTTTAGACCTTGCAGAGTTTGGATCTTGTCTTCTTAGATGAGGAAACTGAGGCCCAGGAAGGCAGTGACCATCCAAAGTCAAAACCTAAGTCGATGCCTCCCTACATTTACCTCTGATGACTTCCCCAGTGTTCTTTGATAGACCTAAGCAGAGTGGTTGTTAGTAAAGGTCAAATAGGGTCTGTATCTAAGATCTGTGCCCCAGTCTTCTTTCATGCTTGGGGGGCCATCCCAAAGCCAAGGTCAAATGGTATGCCGCTCGACTGGAATCAGGAAGAGAGCACTTCTCAGCCGGTCTGCTTGCCCAGACGCTCTCAGAGTAAGGCAGTCTTCCCGTGTTCTGGCCCTATCACTAAATATGGGACACAGGCAAGTTATTTCTTTCTTGGCTTCCATTTGCTCCTCTGTAATAAGGTGCGACTACACTGAATCAGCACCAAAACCCCGTCCAGCTGTAGCATCCTGTGACAGTCGATTTCTGGCCACAGAACAAGCTAGCACATCTGTCCTTTGCTAAAGAGAAAACACACCAGGAGTTATTCATCTGGTGTCTACAGTGAGGAAGTGTAATTTCTTCTTTAAGATTTTCCAAATCTTCCTTGCAACAATGTGGCTGAGGCCTTGTGGGGGAGGGGGGGGAGAGAAAGAAAAATAGAAACAAAGAAAATTTACCTTAGTCAGAATGCTGATTCACACCTCATCAGGGGGTGACCCTTACTTTTTATAAGATACTGCACTATGCCTTCTTTTGTCTTATATTATAGTCTGTTTTTTCTTCTTTAAAAAATTTTGTTTTTAGAGCCATTTCAAATTCACAACCAAATTGAGAGGAGGGTACAAAGGTTTCCCGTATCCTCCCTGCCCCCACACATGCATATGTCCCACCAGAGTGATACACTCAGAACACCTGATATGCCCACGGTGACATGGCTTTATCGCCTCAAGGCCATAGTATACCCTGATGTTGCACGCTTTATGGATTTGGACAAATGCATAATGTTATGAGTGTACTATCATAGGATCATTCAGAACAATTTCACTGCCCTAAAATCCTGTGTTTCGCCTGTTCATTCCTCCCTCTCCTCTATCCCCGTGCAGCCACTGATGTTTTTACTCTACAGAGTTTTGCGTTTTCCAGAATGTCACAGAGTTGGAGACATTCAGTATGAGTGGCTTCTTTCACTCAGAACCTCCATGCGTTTCTTCCATGTGTTTTCATGGCTTGATGGCTTTTCCTTTTTTAGTGCTGAGTAATATTCCATTGTCTAAATTTACCATAGTTCGTTTATTCACCTACTGAAGAACATCTTGGTCGCTTCCATGTTTTGGCAACTATGATCAAAACTGTTACTAACATCTGTGTGTATATTTTGTGTAGATGTAAGTTTTCAACACCTCTGGATGAATACGAAGGAGAAAGATGGTGGGATTATACAATAAGAATCTGTTTAGTTTTGTAAGAAACTGCCAAATCGGGCCAGCCAGTGGTGTGGTGGTGAGATGGCTAGATCCCACATGGCCAATTGCACAGTTCAAATCCTGGATCTGGTGACTTGAAAAATAGGTCAGGCGCATGTGCACGCCTAGAATACTGAAAGGAGGGAGAGGTGGGATTGCAGCGTGACCATTCCCCATCAAGGATGCTTTCTCGCTTTCCCTCTCTCTCTCCAGCAAGCACCTCTGGAAAATTTTTAAAAAATCAAAAGAAACTGCCAAACTGTCATCCAAAGTAGTTGTGCCGTTTTACCTTCCTACCAGCAACACACAAGTGCTCCTGTTGTTCCACATTCTCTCCAGCACTTTTTTTTTTCAATAAAAGAAATTGGGCTTATGATCAGAGAAAGAACAACTCAAACAGGGCAAAAGGCTGTACAATATATACAATAAGAACTAAATCTCCCCCTCATCATGAACTCCTAGGACCTAGATCCCATTTTCCTTCCCCAGAGGCATCTGCCATGGCCAAGTTCTTGTGCCTCTCTCCAGAGATTGTCTATGCAAATATAAGCATGATATGTGTGTGCTTGTGTGTATTTCCCTCTTTGAACATAGTCTTTTTTTTTTTTTTTTGTACACACCGTCCCTTTTATGTATAGCTGTTTTAAAAAACCGGTGACTTCTACATATAGATTTGGAAGTATCTCAAGACAGTTCAGAAAGTTGTCAACCACTTAAGCTTGTCTGAAATCAGTCGGTCTCAGAATCATTTCATTTTGCCAAATGAGATGAAGCAATGTCCAGCCAAGGTTATCATTTGCCCACTGACCTAACCTCCGGCCTCAGCTTGCAGCAGCTCTCTGGCGAGAGGAAAGAAGCTGCCCCCTGCCTGGCGTGGAGACTCGGTCCTGGCAATATTATTCTCACCATATATCCAAGTCATTCACTCAGAAAGCCAGAGGCTGAGGTGTCCCTTCATTACTTGCTCTTAGAATTTTCACCGGGTTAACCTGTATTTTCTCCACACCACCTCCTTCCTTCCTGCTAACCAGTATGTGACTTCTAGTTTCTTTTGGGCGCTTCTTGGTTGGCTCTCCCTATAAGAACATTATTTGTACATTCCTAAAATTATATAATGCTTTATCTAAAAGAGTTCTGGGGAGCCCTACCTGGTGTTGGAGAACTAGGTGGGTTCTGGGAGGTCTCTGAGGTGTGAAGCTTCCTGCCTCTTTGGGATTAGAAAACCACTGCCTCTTTCTCAGAGCAGGTCCCTGTACATCATTCTTTAAGCTTTACTGTCAGTAAGCACTTGTTTTCAGAATTGCAGCTACAAACTCCCTAGAGACATAAAGAAGCGTGTATTTGTTTCTAGTTCTACTAAGGGAGTTCTGGGGAATAACACAGCCAAGGAAGGGGAAGTGCCCAGGGGGAGGCTTGAAGAGTGAAAAACATGTTTCCAGGTGTTATTGGTTGTTATTTCTGGAGATTTTTTTTCCATCTCATTCAAGGTCCCATCAATCCTTGCGAAAATAATACCTGCGAAGATGGTTCTTCATGTGTTGCACTGAATAGCACATCTTTCTGCCTGTGTTCAGAAGGATATTACTATAAACAGTCCACATGTTTGAAAGGTAGGTTACCAAAGACGAGCCAGAACCACGGCAGAGCTCTGTTCCGCTTACCTAAAGTGCAATAGAAAACTCAGAATGATAACAAAAAGAGACTCAGAATACGAGACGTAGTAGAAGGTCTGAAGGCATCGAAGGCCAGCAAAACAGAGGAAATGCACCTGCCTTCATCCCAGCGAGAGAGGGAGTGGGCCAGGCCAGATCTGTGTGCTAGTCCCAAAGGCTGGGGCAGACATATCCCTTCAGTCTACGTGTTCAAGGAACCCGGTGACATGGGGACAAAATGAGGTCAATAGATGTCAAAGCCCCCTGAAAAACAACCAAGACTCCACAAACACAAAACATGCTGGGGACACTGAAATGGAAGAAAGTGATGTACCTCAGACCGCAAGTCAGATAGGCCTAGAGCCTGGTGTTCTGACCTTGGTGCCCAGCCAGGGGTCTGCATGCTCTGTAACAGCAAGCCCCAGCTTTAGAGATGTAAGAGCTTCTCAGCTCTCTAAACAGACTTAGGGGTGAATCGATACGCCCTCGGCATAACACTTGTTTGATTAGCTCACCTGGATGCTATGAAGGTCTCAGACCTGTCTGACTGTCCGAGTTATCATTTTTTTCTGTTTCATGAATGAGAACTAGCGTCCTCGCCAGAGCAGACCAATTGTATAGGAAACAAATACATTGTATTGCTTGCAAGGGTTAGGGATATACCAAAAGTTGCCTTAAATGTTCACATTTTTAACACTAAAAATATAAACACTGGGGGTCTATTCTAAGTAAATGACCTCAAATACAGAAAAAAAAAGTTGCTCACGAGGCTGTTAAATTGCATTTTTTTCCTTTTAAGTAATAAAAAGCATTAAGCCTAACAACAAAGATGACCACCTCAACATAGTGTGAGGTATCACCACATTATATTTCACAGAATATTATGCAGCCCTTAAAAATGATCGTTATAGGGACCAGGAGATGGCATAATGGTTATGTTGCTGGACTCCCATGTAGTCAACCATGGTTCAAGTTCCAGACCAGGAAACTTAAAACTCACACGGGGCGGATGTGCATGCATGCCCAAAATCCCATGACCATCCCCCATGGGGGATGATTTCTCACTTCTCTGCCTCTCCGGCAAGCACCCAAACCCTAAAGTAAAGAAATCTCTCTTTAAAAAAAAGAAAAGAGTCATTATAAAGACTAAGCAGTGATTTGAAAATGCTTATTACAAATAATAAGTTAAAAAAGATTTATAATGTAAACTTGGAATTATAATAATATGAACCATGAATGGAAGGAAAGATCTGAGAAAAATACACCAAAATGAAATTGTTGAACTAGAATGGGTGGGATTATGGGTAACTTTTTTTCTATATTTCCTATAGTCATCATAGAATGTCGAGAACTTTTAGAAATAATCTTTGTTTTAAAACAAAATGGAATGATCCTCTTTATATTAAATAGTACAAAAAGATTCTGCTTGACTTTCAGGAAAGGTATTCCCTGGATATGTTGTCTTACAACTTAATAAAACAACTGACTTGGAAAGTAAAACTTCCCAGGCTTATGAAGATTTACATGAAATAATAACTAAATTTGTAAGTATTTTCCAACCTTCCTTTCTCTATAAGCAATCTCTGTTCTAAGACTGAATTGCAGGGTATAGGGCTGCTCTTCAGGCGGTTCATGCTGGTACAGTTGCACTCATTGTTCACATAGCAAAATGCACCCTTACGTTGCCTGAGCCTCCCAGGTGCCACTGCTTCCCCACTACCCAGGCTTCCCGCCAACCTCGGTTCAGTCCTCCCTCATTCCCGCCCTCTTCCCCTGCCCCTCCCCACCCCGTGATCTTACACTAGGGGCATAGTGCCTGGCTTGACAAAGGCCTTGCTCCAGTCATGCCCTAGCTATTGTTATATAAGCTATTAACAAAGTTTTTGGGGTTTTTGGTTGGTTGGTTGGTTGGTTGGTTGGTTGTTTTTTTTGTTTGTTTGTTTTTGTTTTTTTTTTTTTTTGCCATAGGGCTTGTGCTTGTTGGAGAGAGACAGAGAGAGATAGAGAGAGGGAAAGTGAGAAATCATCCCACAATCCTTTCTCCTCCATTTTCCTACTGGAATTTCTGGCACACACACACACACACATGCGTGATTTTCAAGTTGCCAGGTCTCGGACTTGAACTGTGGTCAGCCATGTGGGAGTCTAGCCTCTTAACTACTATACCACCTGCTGGCCCCTTAACATAGTTTTAAATGGACAGATATGGGGCCAGCAGATGGTATAATGGTTACCTTGCTGGACTCTCACACAGTCAACCATGGTTTAAGTCCTGGACCCGGCAACTTAAAACTCACACTGGGTATGTGTGCATGCATGCCCAATGCTCACTGGAGAGACAGAGAGAAGGAAAGTGAGAATTCACCTCCCAGGGGGATGGCCATGCTGCAATTCCTTCTCCTCCATTCTCCTCTCAGGATTCTGGGTACGCATGTACACGCACCTGGCATGATATTCACGTTGCCTGGGTCTCGAACCATGTAGTCAGCCGTGGAGGATCCAGTCACCCTAACCTCCATTTCACCTGCTGGCCTAAGACTTTAGTTTTAAAATGGAGAGTTCTAAGACGTACTTAAGGCTAATATTTTTTCCCTTAAAACTCAACTTTGAGAAATACTGGGTGGATACTCTGTGAATACTTCCAGGCCTGGTATATGTGGTTCCAGAATGGAGACCTTTATTCCTCTCATACTGACATGCTCATGCAGGATAATCGAAATAAAATGGAACTATTGCTCATTTCAACTTTTTAAAAAATTTTTGATATAGGCTCCCTGGATCCTAGTTATTTATAGAACACCAGCCAGTTCTACTCTGTAGAAGACTATCACAGAATCTGATCTATCCTGGGTATAATGCTGGTCAGGCTCATGAAAATATCAGATATATTTGAATTTGACTAAAATCTAAGATATTTTTCTTTCATTTAAATGTGTCGTTCCACTGGGAGAAAAGTAATAAACATCATGAGTTATGAGAAGGTTGCACCAACCCAGTCCAGCACTCTTCTCTAGTAAGTGTAGAGCCTGAGGTCCAGGTCCCAAATCACATTTATGTTTTCATAGTTAGGTCATTCAGTTGTCATTAGGCAGTGTTTGTTGGGTAGTTCCCTGAGTTGCATTGTGCTAAATGGTGTGGGCATCAAAGAACTTGTATTATAACTGAGACCTCAACCCACCTTCACCTCACCTGCCAGAAGTCCCAGCTTTTCCTCTGGCACTCCCATACGGAAATCTAGAACGTCTGTTCTTGGAACACATGCCAAGTCCAGTAAGATCCTACTGTCCTGGAGAACCTTCTAGCCCTTGGTGGTGAGAGTTACCGCCAGTTCAAGTTTTCCAGTGAGGACAGCAAGGTTCATAGAGGTCACCTTGTACAAAGCTGACGAATGGAGAAACCTGACTTCAGGTGTCCTCGGTTTGGCTGCTCCCTCTGAGCCACGCCATCTCCCAACACTAGGGCGTGCTGTTTCTTCTTCCCCTCTGTCCTGGCGCCCCTCGTGAGATGCTTAAAGCCCTTCTCCTTTATGAAACCGCCTCTCATTCTCTGCCACTGGCAGAGAGATTTTCTGAACTTCCAAGGCAGCCCACTTCTCTCTGTGACACCTGGCTCAGCCTCATGGCTTGGTCCCCCTACTCAGTTATGGGGCTAGCGTGCCCATCTTTGTGATGTCCCCATCCCAAGCCCCCTAGTACAATGCCTTGGGTAAGGCAGACAATGAAACAAAGGAGATGAGACTTACAAATACACAAAACTTAAGACAAACTTAATAAGTTTATCATCTTACTCTTTTAAAAAAGAATGATTTATTTATTTAGTTCCACTTGTTATTATTATTTTTCAATTTGACCAGACAGAGACAGAGAG